TTCACAGGGCAAGAAGAGACAGACAATATAATCAGAATCCCCGTGGTGGCTGGTAAGGTAACGCTAGAAAATCTTTTAAGCCTTACGATAAACAACTGGGAGCCCTTGTTAGATTATGTGTGCAGTAATGATGAATGCGGCCAACGAGGATCGAGCCTGGGCAAGGTACACGTTACAAAGTCAAACCGCTGTGTTGTCTTACAGTTTTTAATCTTTGACAACAACCTACAAAAGATAACCGCAACAAACATAGTAGGAGTCCCAAGTGCTCAAGTGACTATAGGTAATAAAACATACAGACCTACGGCAGCAATTTTTCATCACGGAGATTCAATATCACGAGGGCATTACACTTGTACCATAAAGACATCTTCAGGTTGGACAACAGCCAATGATGAACAAATATCAAATCAAAGATGGCCCATTGGTTCAAAGAATTTGTACATGCTGTTATTAACAGAACAGTAGAAGCAGCAGTTATTACTTTGTTACAAATAATTTTTTTTTTTAAGAGAAAAGAGTATTTTTATTTGAACGGTTAATTTTCTACAAAAATAAATAAAATCTAACAAAAAACCACTAAGTGGTAACACTTTCCCCACCAAGTCAGCAATCCAAAAAAGATAATAAATCATTACTTTTTCCGCCAAGAAAAACAATGTAATGTATGTAAGTTTGGCAACTTGGCGGCAGACTTTTGCTTGGTTTTTTTTTCATTTAAGTTACGTTCGTGGATAATTTCACAAATCAACTTCTCTAATTAATTAGTCCAACTAAGTATAATAATTTCGAGGTAACCAGTAAATATAAAACCATCACTATTATGATTTTATGAAATGTGGCACAAATAAGGTCAAGTTTTGTAAAATAAACTCTCACCTAGCAATGTACTAATGGGAGAGATACTTGCTCAATGAAACTAGTTTTATGGTATTTTTAAAGTGATCGAGCAAAAGTCTGCCGCCAAGTTGCCAAACTTACATACATTACATTGTTTTTCTTGGCGGAAAAAGTAATGATTTATTATCTTTTTTGGATTGCTGACTTGGCGGGGAAAGTGTTACCACTTAGTGGTTTTTTGTTAGATTAATATTTGGATTACTTATTTGCCAGCCAATTCTGTAATGTACTGTATACTACACATAAAACCAGGGATATTGTTACCTACAGTTCAGACTTATTCGTTATGTCTTAAAATGTTGAAATCAATTATTTTACTATGAAATTTTCAAACTGTTGTATTTTAATGTAAATTTCTAAAGGAACATTCAGGTCATAGTCAATAAAAAATACAAAAGGTTTCTCAATCAATTTTACACCTATCCTCGGGATAAAATATGTCCAGTTGACTTTCTACCAATAACACGATAATACCATCCGTCTTATAATTGCAATGAATAATAATGCATTTTTTTACCGTTCAATAAATAACTTTGAGTTCAATCATAGAAACAAGCGTCGGAGAATATATACTGGAGTATTGTTTAGTATTAGACCTAACTATAACAATATTGTTAGTGAACTATCGATAAAATTATTTCAAATAATGACTAATTGAACAATTTTGTGAGTCAATTTTTAAAATCACAAGTCCTTTTAAAAAACAGTATACAATGACAGACCTCACACACCACTTGTCTAAAGATACGACATCTATAAAGAAGTACGTGAGAAGCTAAGATGAAGGAAGACGTAAAGACTTTAAGAGAGAGAAAACAACAGAGGGAAGCGTGATAAATCTTCAGTCAAAAAATAAATCTCCCATCCAGTGCTTCTCCGCGCCATAAAATAGTTCTCGCAGAAAACATGTTTACTTCAACAAGTAGACTGGGCATGAAATATGTTTAACAAACACGTTCAAATGTATCAAATGTTGAATGAAACCGTAGAGTTTTTGTTCGGAGTTTAAAGCATTTATTGTTAAACATTATCGTATTCTTTTTTAGTCATATACTGTACCTTTGATACAAAATGTAAAAAACATGAAAAAATAATTATGTTCGTAATATATTTATTCTGGTTTGGGATTTATTATGAAACATTGACCTTTGAGATTACACGGTAAGGACAAACAAGTGTGAGCATTAATTGCGCCAATTGATTTGAGTCAGGTAGTCGGGTATTCCTGAATTGCGCTAACTACTCCAGGGAGCCACCCGATACGTTCATTAATTGCACCAAGTTGCGGTCTTTGACTGTATAGTTGAGTAGGTTGGGTAAGGTTAAGTTAGGTTAGGATGTCACGTAAACAAGGACATTCCTTCTGCCAGCAACTCGTCCCTATCTGGCTTGAACTTGGCGCAACTAAGGAACATTTTTGGGACACTTGGCGCAATTAATGCACGACCACAAATAACGCGACAATCAAAAACCATTGAAGCAATCGGAGAGAACAGCCGGATAGAGTAACTTCCCATTGCATTACCAAAGAGACCAACTAATCGATGTTTTAACGATGAGCAGATAAGGTATCGAATTGAACTCCAGTTTAGCTATGTCCAATTGCGGATATATCCCCTGCAACTAAGTTAACATGAGATATTTACAAAATCGACGTTAAATGTAAAATCTTCCAGGACTTCGTTCGGGTTTTTATTTTCCCTTCTTAAACATAGCCACCAATTACTGACCGTTTCATAAGAATAACTTAAAAGTTTTGAATCCAATCTCCTATTTAAATCTTTGCAAACAATAATAATAAATTGCATTCACTTAATGGGATGGTGAAAATGGAAAAATCGCATTTACAATAATTTGACTATAAAACAATTTTGAACTACTCCTAGGTTTTACCAAAATCTCAGAGCATACGAGATTGACGCTATCACAAAAATCAACATAAATCTATAAAATTATAAGAAATTAACTATTTATTTTTAATTCAAAATATATCCTATTGCATGAAAGATTGTTAATGAAATTAGAATTATCTTACAGAGAATCTTTGCTAAATACGAGTATATTACAAAATCTATCAAGAGGAGCTCTAGCGATGGACTTGGACCCCGACCTCTGTAAAGGTACAAGTTATAACCACTTTATTACCAAGCTTAACATCAAGTTTAATGAGTCTTTGAAAGTCAGTTAATTAATTCACCACAACGCAACGCAAAGTGAATCGTGATTAATTTTAACCGTCTTCCAACAACAGACTTACGCTGTGTTAGATAATATTAAAAGGTTTTTTGTTAATTTTTTTGGATTACTTAGTTAGAATGTTTAAAAAAATCGGGGGTTGATTTTTTTTAAGATGTTGAGCACTGCAATGTGGAAAGTGTTCAATTGAAGCAATCCATTGCAAGAAAGACATGTTTTCGAATAAAAAAATTAACGAAAAGTGTTTTTGTATTTTAGGAACATCAAAATAAAAAACTGTCGGTCCTGGGTCTATGTCCTACCGTGCCCCCTACGGCAATAGCTACTTCCCCAAAGGGAAATTCACGCAAATTAAGAAAAACGTAATTACTTAAAATATAACTACACCAATATATTGTATTAGAGGAACCAATTGATGTTTCAACAGAGTCCAAAACAGCAATAAAAACGTCATACAGTATTCCAATTACTGATTCAATTAAACCCCTGCCTTTTAGTATTCCGCTGTTTTGAAAGCTTTTCTAACGGTTCAATTCCATTAAAATTAATTGCAGGGAAAGTTAATCAATTGAACAAACGATTCGTTTCTATTAAAACCTAATTGCCAATACTGCTAATAAGCTATGACTCTTTCAGCCGGTTGAATTTTCAGTAAAAGAGTTTTGTCGATATTAAATTGACTTTATTATTTCATAACTAATATTGCTTTTCGTAAGGAATGTTTCAATAGAAGACGGTTGATTTGTAAGTATTTTTCCATGCACATTTACATACAAATGACATCTGAGTTTACTGAGTATTAACCACCTGTAAACTAGTATAAATTTTTAATTCAGTATTTGACGATAATATTGTTCCTGTTAACGAAGGGACAGAATTTCCTAAAAGACCTTTTTGAACCATGTATGAACTATGGAACGGTATTCAGTGTGGTAATAAAAGGTAGGTACATAATTTACGTAGTTGTTACTTTGAAAACAAAGAATACAACTTTTTCCAAAATCCGTCGTCATCCAGATATTCTAAAGAGTTGTGTTGCATATTATTTGTAAAATAAAGCAAAATGAGGTGTTACCTGACTGCTTAGCCTTGTTCTACATCATTTTACAACTAAAAACGTGATACTTCAGCTCGATAGGAAGTTTTAAATGCAAAATAAAAATATTCTTGAATCTATTTCATAAAATCAGCAATGTTTTTAGTAATTATATTTTATCAAATTGAAATGGCAGCCATTTTTAAATTACTTATGATTTTGGACAAAGATAATTTATTCATTAAACATGGGCTTCGTCTGCCTTAACATAGTTACCGAGTTCTATAAAGGATAGTCAAAACAATCCAAAGATAAACATGTTCAAGTAAAAATTATGTATGATGGATAGCTGGTTAACGAAGCGATTTTGGAAAAAGTTGTATTCTTGATTTTCTCCTTATTTTGACCCAAGGAAACGGCTAAGCTATGTCCCTATCTTTATGGTCACACGGTAAAGTAGCGCTTAAGGTATGGATGAATTTAAAATTCAGGAAATTCATGGAAATATAAGTTATTATAGAAATTCACAGCAAACATGAACAGTCTAGCGATTGGACAAATTTGATAAAAAATTCAGAATACATGAAAGAAATGAGCCTTAAAAAATCAAAAGAAATAGATCACAAAACCTCAAATGTATGATATTTATTTCACCTTAAATGTTTAATTTTGTTCAGTTGATTCCAGTTCCAAATAAGGGAAACCCCAAAGAGACCTTGACAAACAAAATCGACAATATGGATGTAAAGAAATGTACCTCGGAGCCTGAATGGCCACTTATGATTGCCCTGGAATTGACGATGGACAACAATGCAGGAAAATCAGAAGAAGAAGTGACCTTGAACAGGTGGACCTTGAACTGATCAGCTGACTACGTATATAAACTCCCGCCAGCGCGGGATCCTCACACGCACATCATGAAGTCCTTCCTGGCTGTAGTTGTCGTTTTGGCGGTCTTTGCTTCTATCGAGGTAGGTGGATATATTAATTTATGGTATATTGAGTAAAGAATGTTTTTTTGCAAATTTAAGTCATGAGTATTTAAAAAAAAAATTACTTACAATTTAATAGGCCTACCTATAGATATTGAAATTACTAAACTATTGAAAATGCATTTTTATCCATTCGGTTGGTAAATCGTTTCGTTTCTACTGTAATTTCATTTTAAGTGAATTGTATCATCAACATGTGGAGTTACTAAGTCAATTGTTAACAAAAGTCTAAGCTACATTCCTACATTACTGCAAATAAGATCAGAAAATTTAATTGTAAGGAAAAAACTACGAAATAAATAATCTTGGAAATAAATTACTGTAAAGACAAATTTTCATTGCAACCTCAAAAGGAGTTCTACATCCATTGTGATTGATACCAACTTAATGATTTGAACAGGTTAAGGTTTTATTTGAGGTTTATTTTGTCGAGCCGATCGAGATTGAACAAATTTAAAAACAATATTTTTTGTATTCGTGATGTCAAAAATGATTAATTTTGACTAGCCTACAACAACAATCAAATCCTTTAAATCAAATGAAGAGTTTTGTCATAAAAAGCCATCACAAAACGGTTGGAAACTATTGAGAACAAAGTGTGAAGCTGTACAGTTGACATGTGATGCATATTTAACGCAGCAAGCGTTCACTGAAATGTGAGTGATTGGACAGGGAATGTAGGTGTTTGGGGGTTGGCAACAATGACAACCACTGCAACACAGCAAGCGTTCACTGAAATGTGAGTGATTGGACAGGGAATGTAGGTGTTTGGGGGTTGGCAACAATGACAACCACTGCAACACAGCAAACGTTCACTTAAATGTGAGTGATTGGACAGGGAATGTAGGTGTTTGGGGGTTGGCAACAATGACAACCACTGCAACACAGCAAACGTTCACTGTAATGTGAGTGATTGGACAGGGAATGTAGGTGTTTGAGGGTTGGCAACAATGACAACCACTGCAACAAAGCAAGCGTTCACTGAAATGTGAGTGATTGGACAGGGAATGTAGGTGTTTGGGGGTTGGCAACAATGATAACCACTGTAACACAGCAAACGTTCACTGAAATGTGAGTGATTGGACAGGGAATGTAGGTGTTTGGGGGTTGGCAACAATGACAACCACTGCAACACAGCAAACGTTCACTGAGATGTGAGTGATTGGACAGGGAATGTAGGTGTTTGGGGGTTGGCAACAATGACAACCACTGCAACACAGCAAACGTTCACATAAATGTGAGTGATTGGACAGGGAATGTAGGTGTTTGGGGGTTGGCAACAATGACAACCACTGCAACACAGCAAACGTTCACATAAATGTGAGTGATTGGACAGGGAATGTAGGTGTTTGGGGGTTGGCAACAATGACAACCACTGCAATGCAAGTGGTATACGAATATGTTGTATCTGTACAAACTTTCTCGCGAATAATTAAATTATTATCGTTTATCATTATAATATTTTAAGTTGAGGAGGCCAAATTATTTACGTCGAATATAAAAGGTGAAACAATGTTCAAGTATGTCCAAAATTATTGTAATCGGGATGGACATTATTTTATCAAAATTAGTTTAATTTTTTCACACAGACTGCTTTGTGCTACACTAATTAGGAAACTTATATATGATATTTTGCATATTTACAATCCAAGTTTTACTTTACTATACACACACAAAAAATGTTATTCTGTTGTGAAAATTAGATTACCAATTGTAGTCATGTAGTTTTTTTATTACTGTAATAGTACCTATAATCTGACAAATTTTACTCTGATTTTCTAGGCAGCGCTGGACAGAGCCCAGTCCCTCGCTTTGGCCAAGAAATGCGCAATGAAGACTGGTGCCAAAGAAAGTAAGTACATTGAAATTACATAATAAATTACTTGTAAATGCACGATGCCCAAAAAATACATTTTTTATTCCTGATTAGATAAGAATGCTTTTCTCGCACACACGAACTATTTCCAAACCTTCATCAATTTTTACAAAGAGAACTAAAAAAAATACATTTTTACTAAGTTCCATCGATGACTTAATAATAGTTTATTTAACCGATGGTTTTTATTTTGCATGATCACAAGGAGTATCGCGGCATATTTTAATCACATTTTTGAAGGCTTTTTAAATTAATACCACGTAACTAATGCAGCAACAAAAAATTGAAAATAATACAAGGTTGTGTTAAAAATCTAAAAATGAACAATAAAACATGCCAAATCAAGAAAAAAAGCCTAAATAGATTCCAAACACAATTTCAAAATCAGCCAAATTAAATGTTAAGAATTGAGTCAGTAACTAAATGTAAAACTAAACTACAGCAAGTACGAGATGGACCCTTGAAATCACCAATGAAATTCGAATCGGAAACCCTTGGTATTGGCTGAGTAGGCAGGGTTGCTGCTACGGTATAATTAACAAAGCACGACATAGCAACAAAGCTGGCAATCGCACTTTCATGAATGTTGTATACCTCATCATCGACACCACAGCTGTTCAATGCAGTATACACTGCAGGGGCTAAATATACAATGCATCGATAATACTCGCTTAGTACATTTGTGATCTAAATCTAATTTTCAAAGTGCATAATATGGTTGAAATCCGTTACGTGCCCACAACTCAATATTTTCTTAATACACTTCTATAACTTATTGAAAAACACCTTTTATAGGTAAATAAATAATGAAAATTACAATATTTAGAAAAGGTTTTGGATCACACATTCAAATAAACTGTTATTATATATAAATTTGGAGAAAACACACAAAATAGTAGAACAACTACTGCACATTTTAAGCTGTTTGAGAAGTTTGGTTGGTTAGGTAAGGTTAGGTTAGGTTAGATGAGACTGTTCTAACCTAACCTAACCAAACTTCTTGAACAGCTTAAAATTAGTTTTTTGAGTAATTGAACTAAGATTAATCGTTATGTCATTGTTGCGACAAAGTCAACAGTGATTCATCGCCATGTCGTATATACCTGGAAATGATTCCATTTTACTAAAAAAAGTACTCTATCATTGAAAAACTACGTTTTGTACACTTAAATGTTCAATAACAGGTTTTGGAGTTGTGGGCACGTAACGGATTTTGACCCATAATATTCATTTTTGTTTTTGGGGGGGACAACATTTGCAAATGACGATGCTGTATGGTAATAGCTCATCAAATTTGAATAGTTCTCAAACATATTTAAAGTATGATCACATGAAAAACAATAAACATTTATAAATACATTACATCTGTGTATAAGTGATGAGACACACTATTAACTGGTGCTGGTTGCATAAACTTTATTTTAAGTATAGAATAAAGTATACAAAATACTAGCAGTATACTGAATTCAATATACACTTTAACACAATATACACTTTTTATATGGTACTTGAATAAGGTATTTTATGACTACCACAAAATTTAAGTTGTAAATGTATACAGGTATTATTTAGCCTTTCCACACGATCTGCTGGTATACAGAATGAACAAGTTAGTTACCACAAATAAATTACTATTCACAAATTAACTATACAATTTGAGAAAGATTAACTGAGGGACTTATTTTTTTACCATAAGACATAAATCCATCTTGCCTTTTTCGAAATTATATTATTTTTTATTACTGAATTAGAATGTACCTGCAGTTTTATGGCCTCCTTTTCAACCGTTTAGATATATGACTCTGGATATTAAATATATTTTCTAGAAGAATTTCACAGGGAAAATGTTTAGTAGCTTATAACAATAGTTAAATTTAATGAACAAGTTATAACAGCAGAAATAAATTTAAATTGCCTACATTAAAATGCCCATCCAGCACTTAACCAAGCAAGGTCATGTACAGCATAAAAACATGATTTAAAACTGTGTGTATTACAAATAAAAATAATATGAAAAAATTACCAATGTTAGTAAGGGTTTGAAAACCAATTCTATTTGGTATTAAAATTGAAATCTAAACCAGACATTAACTTGTTTCTTATGTTTTAGACCCTGAGGAACTTCTAGACAAGCAGCTTATTCCCGAGACCCGTGAAGGAAAGGTAAATCAAATTTGGTTTGATTCATACAATTTCTGTAACAAAACATTTTTCTGGAAAATTAGATTGGTGAAGAGGATACAAAACATACTTTGTCATGTACAGTATTATTCAGGATATTTGGCAGGTTATGGCTCTTTCAAAATGTGATACCGTTTTACATCTGTAAACAGTCACCAAATTTTCCCTAGGAAGTTGTGACTTTAGCTTAAATATTTAAATTTAATGTAAACATATTAACTGATGTAAATTATGAAATGTTTATTGACAATTTGAATCTTAAATAATCAACAATACGATTTAAAAAGATTCTCTGCCAAATAATACGAGTAGTTGATAACAGTGTTAAGACTGGACTAGCAATAAATCTATATTAACAAGAATGACAAAATGTAACAGCCCTTTTATAATTTTAAACCCCAAAGCCAAATAATAATAAAAAAGTTTGTTTTTGAGGTCTGTTAAATAAATGGAAACGAAATGCCAAACAAGAACAACTCCTTGATCATTCTTAAACACCCAATTTCGTTAGAATGCATAGTGTGAACGCGAGGTTTTTATTTAATTTGTTAAAACGAACAGTTAAGTGTAAACAAGCTCGGTAAGCTCATAGCGTATTGTATATCATTAATGGAGCTTGTATGAAACAAAAATGGAATCTCCTATTGAAGTCATCGATTTAAGTTTTAGCTCCTGGATCCCGTTTACACAAACGAAAGGTAAAAAAAATGCCTAAAGTTTTAAACATTTTAAGATTTGCAGAAATATTTGAGCACATATTTTATTTTATAGTTTCTGAGTGAAATCAGGACATGGCGTTTGGGAGGAGGGTACGAGGCTTTCCGAAGGGAAATGGGAACATTAAAGTTATGTGCATGATATTTAAGTCCCGAACATCAAAGAGTTAAAGAACTTTCGACCCATTTCAGTAATATTCGAAATCTAGAAAAGGTCTTGAGATAATTTTAGGATAACCTGTATTTTTTAGGTTGTAGCAAACCCATCTTCGTAGAATGGCAGAAAATAAATCGCTCATCTAATTGAAATGTTTCTGTTACAGTGTATGTTCGCTTGTGTGCTGAAGGAGAAGGGACTGGTAAGTTTGCGAAACATATTTACACATTACCTTTTACATTTCATGATGCAAAATCATGAAAATTTATCATATTTGTAAGATAACTGACCTCGATTGGAAGAAACAAGAATATTCTTTACTTAAGAGTTTATTCATAATGTTAATAAGAGGATTATATTACATACTGTATTACGTAGTCGTAATAGCAGGTACCTATTGTAAGATCTGATATAGCAGGTAGCCATTTATCCAACTTAGTTGTTTTTCTTTGTTTATTTACACGTTAGGTTACTGAGGATGTTTCATACATTTTTTCTTGTATGGAAAAAATTATAAAACAAAATTGTTTATACTGAACAAATAAGATACAAATTTAAATGGGGTGTGTATATTTGACGACTCTTACTAAAATATTGGAATCCTTAAAGTTTAAGCTGCGAACCACAAAAACATTTAATTTCCTTGAATCATAAAACAATCTTTTAGACTGTATATGCCAAACATCTTTTAAGTTGTTATGTATGAAAATTCCAAGTTTTTTCATATATAAAGTGATACAATAAAATAAATGTCTTAAGCAATTTCCAGGCTAACTGAAAACCTAGAAACTCCCTCTAACCATATACAAAAGAATTAAACTGTCAGCCATGCTGCGGTTACCAAAGGTTCTGACACACACTGCTAGGAGCGCCATATAGTTACGGGATACGCGCTACGTAACTACACGGCGCTCCCAGCGGTGTGCGCCAGTTTATGGTAACCATGGTAACCGCAACACGGCTGACAGTCTATATTTAATTCTTTTTGTCTATGCTCTAGCTCAGCAAGACATTTTCAAAGTTTAGTTATTGAGGATACAATCATTGGTAACCATACCAAACTTCTCATCTATATGAATCAGCTGTAGTCAGTACTCATCTGAAACAGCTGATCACAGAGTCATTATACTTTCTCTATTAGTTTCCTATACGTCGATAGCTGACGTCACATCAAAGATGCTATGGTTTAATAAGCCATCCTTTCATAAAGGCTTGATTACAAAGACAGAACATAAATCAGTGGTTGACATAAGCCCACTTTGTGGCAAGATTCAACCAAGTTACGTTCATTCTTATGGCACAATAGTACTTCAGTACTATACGTATAATATAACATACTATGTTCCTTTATAATATTTTAATGTGTCCTCTCCTGATTTAGATGAAGAACGGTAAGGTTGATGGGAAGGCAATAAGCGATTTCTTCGAGAAGACTTACTCCGACGACCCAGAGAAACTGGAGCAGGCCGCCGCAGCTGTGGGCAAGTGTAGCACATTAGGTGAGAACCATGCAGTATTTATATTAAACATAGTGATTTAAGAATGGAAATATTGATATAACTATATACAGTTTTAATGGACTTCTAGATTCCCTTTAGGACGGGCCGACAGCTCGTAATCTTTAAACCATGATTGTTACAGCAATGGGGGTTGCATTATTTTTTTTAGAATTATAAGGACCAAAACACATTAATTTTAATATAAACAGGTTTTTCCAAAATACGATTTTTTTATTTTATGGGTTTTTATGGGAAAATCACCATTTAAAATCAAAATAAAAAAAAAACACCTTGAGAGACCATGGATACCTTCATACCAAATTTAATCAAAAACACATCCTCGCACACATACATCATTTTGAAAACCACTTTTTTGGTTCAGGTGGTTCCAAAACGGATATATCCACTCAAAACTCAAACTCGAAAATTTCGACGAAAACAATACTTTCTCCATATATTGGAGGAGAAATTAAAAAAGGGCCCATAGATAAGTTGGATGTTTTCGTTGCAGATGTCAGTGGCAAGGATGAGTGCGAGGTGGCGGTGGCATACGCCAAGTGTGGAAAAGCAGTAAGTATATATATACAACATATTTATCTATATTCAACAGTGTACAACTGTTGAATACTATAGTTCGGCCGCTTAGAAAACGACCTCCTCCAGCATTGGTTTAGCATTAGCGCGCAGGTCGTTTTCTAAGCGGCCGAACTATAGTTACTGATTAACGATTTACTATAATAACTTAATATTTTAAACTTATCATAACTTAATAATTCGTATATCTTCTAGGACTTAGCACCGTAAACTATGGTGAATCACACCCTTAGTATACACTGCAGGAAACCATTTCCTTTAGAGAAACCCTGTAACTGGAAACTTCTCAATTTTTTTTTTTTTTTTTTTTTTTTTTTTTTTTTGTAACAAGTGATTAATATTTAGCCACAATTCACTTAAATATTGAGGTAAACTCGGACATTTACTATCAAGACACTTAATTTTACAATAGATTCACCTTGTACGTGCAGTTTTTAGACTTATTTTTAATCTGTTATCGTTTTTAAACTCTCCTGTCTGGAGACTGTAAATTTCACACCTTTACTTAACAAAATACATCAGAAAAACTTTAACTGGATTTATTTCGATAGTAGATCTATCGTTAACGAAAGCCGTATCAATTTTATTCAGTACACAAAACTATAAACAATGAATGATTTACAATAACTAAAATTTCACGGATTGAATATGTTTTAATTTTTGTTTATTATTGTAATTGATATTTCTATTTTTATTTTAAGTGTGTAGTTTTAATAATCATACAAATAAAGTTTCCCAATCACAAATCTAGTACAATCAAATTGTTTCATTTTTAACAGTGGTAGCTTTACAACAACATGTAACAAATAAAATTAAGATGTGGTACACTTCCGTATCTGTTGTCAAAAATAACCGAATGAAAAATTATTCGATATTTTTAAATAAAATAATCGATATATCGATATTTTTATTCGGTTTGGTAATTTTAACAAGTAAGGTATTGTATTGTTTGAAACAACCAACGCCCATGAGGGAAGTGGTATTGTGGTGGGGGGGGGGGGGTAATCTCATGGGGCAGCCATCATCACACCAATTTGGTGGTTTACACTATCGGAATTCCGTTCAACTGAACTACACAATTACCAGTCAACCGTGTTCCGTGTTAAATGCACTAATAATTTCTCAGGTTTTTAGAAATTATCAATCATCAGTGTGAGATTAAGATCGACATGTCTGCATTAATAGTTATATTTCCTTTATTCACAAACAACATACGCAATTTTATTATTTCTCAGTTCATGATGAATTGAAATGAGACTTTGCAATACACAAAGATGATTGTGTTATTTGTTAGAAAATGTGCTCGTCGCTGCTCAATAGAAGAGGTTAGAAGAGGTATATAATACGTTTATGGTCTACATGAACGGTTTATGAATGCTTATAAATTGCATTAGATATAAGATATAACAATGACAATGTTGCCAAAATTAAGTCCTACGAAGTTCTTCTTACCATTCCACCATACTCGTGGCCAATCCTCAATGATAACCTCTTGTAATAACTTAGCTTATAAAAACGTTAAACAACATTTCAGACACTTTCCACTGTAAACTTTTATATACAGGGTATGGTTTCATTGCCAAAAACTACATCCATAGGAAAAAGTATAGCTTGTGTAAGAAATTGGACCTTTACAAATCAGAAGATGATTAACTATGTTTTATCTGTTTTGTTGTGATGGAATGAGCTGCTTCAAGGCAGTCAAAAGTAACATACCTACAGCCAAATTTACCGGGACAAAATCTATAATATGCAATATTATTTCACTGAAGACGATAGCAGATTCAGTGCTGAGCACGTCTATTTTGAATACATGACTACTGAAAGATTTTATTGTTCTATATTAAATATACTAAATCTGTTCTCAGCCTTTATCAACACAATTGACATGTGTCTGGTTCCATGAACTAATGTTTCGTTTTTGTTGCAGGAAGGCTTCAGGCTGGAGTAGGAGTTACGTGACCCAAGATAATGCTGTGATGTAAATAAACAATGACATGTAAAAAGTGCAATTACAAATGTTAACACCAAAATACAAAATTTTCTGTCGATTCTTTATCTGGTTTTCTGTTAAATTTTATTTTACCTCATAATACCAATGGTGATAAGTGGCAAATAAAACAATTAAGAGCCACTATAGATATTTTATTAATGTACCGCGGTATTAGTATCACTTAGCAATCACAAAAACTGGAAAATCATTTGTCCAGTGACGAGTGTCAGCAGTGTGCACTTTGAGAAACAAAACATTAAAGATTGTTTACAGAAATATTGGTTTTGTAGTCACAGAACTTAGTTTTGCGATACTTCAACCATCTACATCCCAGCTCAGCTGTGTTATTGTAATTGTATAGTGTAGTCGTTTACAGAATAACTCTGTTTAAATGTCAGCCCCGCAGTTGGCACAACTGTATACCAAAGTACAGTATAAATTAAGTACAGTAAAGTAGTAGTGTATATTGTTGCAGTTAATTACTAATAATTATTATCATTCAACATTACATTATACACTATCTTGTACCTGCGGCATCACCTGCTATGGTATAATCATCATACAGCATAAGAAATGTTTAAATAAAGAAAGAAAATATAATTGATTAATAGTTGTTAAACTTTATTATTAACTGTGTTTACAGAAACATGTTTTCAAGATAAAACAATCATACACATGATTTAATTAATTATATAAACCATGTGATTCTAAATAGTCATTGAGCAAGTTAGTTTCTTTCAATATGCCCTCAAACTAACACGCTCCAACAGGGTTTTCAATCTGGACACTGGTAGGCCTTTCGTCAGGAAATCAGATAGTTGGTCATTCCCAGACACGTGACGTATATCAAATGTACCTGCAAGAAATTGCTCACGTACATACTGGTATCTCACATGAATGTGTTTTGACCGCTTATGAAACTCTCCAGCATTCCTAGCTAGTCGAACAGCTCCAGCGTTGTCTACAAAAAGAACAGCCTTGATTTCTTGACCATATATCTCACCCAACATTGTTTTCAACCATACTATTTGCTTAGAAGCCTCACTCGCAGCAACGAACTCTGCTTCTGTGGTTGACAATGTAACACAATGTTGCTTCACTGAAGACCAACTTACAATGCCATTAGCAAACATACACAAATATCCTGTGCGTGACTTTCTTGACTTGTCATTTGCAAAGTCAGCATCGCTGTAGCAACGGAGAATTGGTTCACTTTTGGAATAAGTCAGTGAATAATCCAATGTCCCCTTCAAATACTGGAATATTCTCTTGACATCACTCCATGCTTGCATAGTAGGATTGTTCAGCTTTTGTGCTACCATATTCACTGCACAACTTATGTCTGGCCTCGTATTTGTTATGTACATCAGACTGCCCACAGCTTCTCGGAAAGGAACTCCTTTACTCAAAGGCTTGTTTTCCTCTACTGTATCAAGCTTCGTGCATAAAGGCGTACCAACTGGATTGCATTCTGACATCCTGTACCTTTCAAGTACACTCTTGATGTAAGACTTCTGATTCAAAGAAATCCTGCCCTCTGCTCTATGAATCTCCATTCCAAGGTAGGTTTCAGGATCAGTAACTTTCAACTTGAAGTCTTGTTCCAATTGTGCAATAAAATCAGACATCTCTTGTTGATTTGAACCAGCAATCAGACCATCATCCACAAATATTACTACATACAATTTTGAACCGTTCTTGTTATGAATAAACAAACATGGATCTGCAGTACTTTGGCTAAAACCCTTCTTAAGCATACTTTGCATTAGAGCCCATAACCTTTTAAATAAAGAAAGAAAATATAATTGATTAAAAGTTGTTAAACTTTTTTATTAACTGTGTTTACAGAAACATGTTTTCAAGATAAAACAATCATACACATGATTTAATTAATTATATAAACCATGTGATTCTAAATAGTCATTGAGCAAGTTAGTTTCTTTCAATAGAAATAAACAAAGTATTATAATCTAGATCAAAACAGGTGACACAATTGCATGATTGAAGTTTTCTAATTTTTGTCTCCTTTATCTTCTTGTTGAGGTCTATGTCTTAGTTCTGTTGTGGTTTTGCAAATCCGTAGTGGTTTCGCCAACGATCACAAAAATAAGTTATGCGTCACTGCGTCACGCACAGTTAAAAAATCATGTTAAGATTAAACATTCTACAGTGATTAAATTACAATTAAAACTATAATGAAACCATTCAACATAAAACAATATGTTTATGCCGATGCTTGATGGCAAATCTGTACGTACATACCTTCAATTTGAAACCTCAATCATGAAAATCGGTCGGGTATAAGAGCCAAACGAACTCGGAAAAGAAAAACAATTTTTTTTAATACATAAGATTGCCATGAATCTTTCTCCAAGGTATAGTTCTTTCATAGCTGTATCTGCTCTTCTAATACAAGGAAAGGGACTCTTGCACCAGAACGTTAGGTTCAAGGCCAGGTTCAACCAGAACTATGGGTTCACCAGATGACATCAGCAAGCAAACACAAGAAAAATACTGATACAAAGGATATGAATGTAATATCCACGTCTTTTCTCATGAAACTTGTTATAGAAGTTGACAGTTTTCATAGACAAACGTATTTACGTTAAATTGATGAAAAATGTTATATTTTATTTATAAACATCGTTATTTAATGCTTTATTAAAAATTTTAAAACCTGATAACTCCTCTCAACTGGCTTTCACTGCTATGAAAGCAAACCTATTTTATTTCTGGAGACCTCAAAACAAACCACTTCATTGTGAAAGATTTTTCAAATATATTACCAAAGATGAGATAATTAATATTACTTTACGCGACCTACGCTAGTACTACTGAAAAAGAAGGGTAAGGACATTAGAAATGTTAAGTAATTGTGTAAAATGCATTTTTAAGATTAATTATATTACGTCATCTTGCGTGTTTTGATATTTTAACGTTGCGTAATGGTTGTTTCTGTCGTAGTGGTTGTTTTTGTCGTGGCGGTGCCTAAGTCAGGGTCTACAGCGGTTATGGTAGTAGTGGTTGTGATAATTTTCATTTTTGGTTTGTGGTTGGTCGCCACCGGTTTTAAATCATTGGATACCCTTGGAATTGGATTATGTGGATGTAATTCGTTTTTTACTTCTTCCTGATGTGCTGGGGTTTCTATAATTGGTTCATGAACTATTGGAGTTTGTTCTGCATTTGCCAGTTCTTCTACGATTTTCGGTTCCTCTCGAATCTGTTTCTGGTCCTCTGGCTCATGTTGTTCCGATTCTTGATAAATTTCTTGATTAATTGGTTCTGGGTTTTGTACTTCTTCTTGACTTTTCGGAACTTCCTGAATATGTTCCTGGTTCTCTGGTTTATATTGTTCCGATTCTTGATAAATTTCTTGTTTATTTGGTTCTGGGTTTTGTACTTCTTCTTTATTTTCCGGATCTTCCTGAATATGTTCCTGGTCCTCTGGCTTATATTGTTCCGATTCTTGATAAATTTCTTGTTTATTTGGTTCTGGGTTTTGTACTTCTTCTTTATTTTGCGGAACTTCCTGAATATGTTCCTGGTTCTCTGGTTTATATTGTTCCGATTCTTGATAAATTTCTTGTTTATTTGGTTCTGGGTTTTGTACTTCTTCTTGATTTTGCGGATCTTCCTGAATATGTTCCTGGTCCTCTGGCTCATGTTGTTCCGATTCTTGATAAATTTCTTGTTTATTTGGTTCTGGGTTTTGTACTTCTTCTTGATTTTGCGGATCTTCCTGAATATGTTCCTGGTCCTCTGGCTCATGTTGTTCCACTTTTTGATAAGTTTCTTGTTTAATTGGTTCCGGATAATCTACTTCTTCTTGACTTTTCGGATCTGCTTGAATCTGTTCCTGCTCCTCTGGCTTATATTGTTCCGATTCTTGAAAAATGTCTTGTTTAGCTGGTTCTGAGTTTTGCACTTCTTGACTTTTTGGATCTTCCTGAATATGATCCAGTTCCTCTGGCTTATATTGTTCCGATTCTTCATGAATTTCTTGTTTATTTGGTTCCGGGGTTTCTACTTCGAATTGACTTGCCGGGTCTACTTGAATTCGTTCCTGGTCCACTTGCTCATGTTTTTGCGATTCTTGATAAATGTCTTGTTTAGTTGGTAGTGGGCTTTCTACTTCTTTTTGATTTTTCGGATCTACCTGAATATCTTCCTGGTCCTCTGGTTCTTGTTGATCTGGTTCTTGATAAATTTCATGTTTATTTGGTTCTGGGTTTTGTACTTCTTGACTTTTCAGATCTTCCTGAATATGATCCTGGTTGTCTGGTTCATATTGTTCCGGTTCTTGATAAATTTCTTCTTCAATTGGTGCTATGTGTTCATCTTCTTTTACATTTTTCGGATCTTCCTGAATATGTTCCTGGTCCTCTGGTTCATGTTGTTCCGGTTCTTCTTTTGATGGAGAAAGAGACAATGATACTGTCACTGTGTGAGCAGCATCCCACACAAATTTCATGTCTGTTTTCTTTACTTTGATTGTGACGTCTACACCATCATCCGTTATTGTTCGGGAAATCCAATCGTCCGAGTTAGTTTTTGGGAAAGCATTTTCAATACTTACGAGACACATTAACAAGCTGTATTGGTCGATCCACAACATATACCTACTCTTGTCATTTAATGCAATTGCTTCAGGATAAAAGAAATCTCGAAACACATTGTTTTCACATTTGCCGCCTAAAGACACATTTTGTTTGAAGAAGAAAGTAACTACAGATTTGACTAGTTTATTTTCCCCAATTGCCAGTATAGCTCGTTTTACCTTTTGAGCATCTTCTGAGCTATCTTCTTTCGCTATGACTAACAAGTAGTACTCCGTCAACTTTAGGATGTGTTCAAGATCGTCGTTTGGAAAAGCCGTTTGAAAAGGTGTTCCCAACGTGTTGATGTTCCTGATTATATCAAGGAATTTGGGAACAAATTCAATAATCATCGCTTTCTTTTTGTCCGAATCTATGATAAAATCCCATTCGAAACCTTGAACGTCGCTGGATATTGTTATTGAATCCTTGTACCCATCTTTTATTGGATTGGCCTCCACAACGTAATTGAAAACTGCAAACACCTGTAACATTACACGTAAATTTTTATCATGTAAACTAGACATTGCCAAACAGTTATATCTTTGCAATACGCCTAGTAGCCTTGCCGAGTACGACAGCTATATCTTTCAAAACTCGCTAATATGTAGCTTGGTTAAATACGACAGCTATGCCTTAACTAAAACCCTTAGTAGCCTTGCACAACACGCTTGGTGGGTTTGCCAAATGTGACGGCCTATAATATTTCTGCCTCATTTTATTATTAATCTTAACTTTGAGCTTTATTTGACTTGCTATACTCCCTAAACCTGGCTTAGTGACCGACACTAGATATTCATTAGGTTGGTGTACCAACCATGCCAAGCAGTATTCATGCTACGACTATATTTGCTAAAAGCTATACTCTGACGAACAATCTGATTGCTGTGGCAGACGTTTGCAAGCAGGTACGGAAATGGAACTCAAAGTTCGATGGTGAACATAAACCAGTATTGTTTATCGAGAGGCTAAATGAGTGAGCCGCATCATATGAAATACAGCCGGCCCTAATGCTCAAGAATACTAGAATACTAGTACCCTAATAATACTAGTGGTGTAAAAGATCCTGGATCTACCACGTTGTGACTCATTTGCCTAGTCTTAACCTTGCAGTCAACATTAACTTTTAATTTAGAGCTATGTAGTGCATAGTTAATCAATGTATATTTATTAAGTTAGAGAGTGCTAATATTCAAACTTCCTGATAAAATAAGAGGTCAGAATATAGTTTCGGTAGCAATAAAGGATAAGGTGCCAACAGCGTTAGTGCAGGGTGTCACTTAAGTATATCTCGGATAGAAAATAAGGCAAAGCATATATTTTTCTGGGAAAAGTATGTAAAATGAAATAAGGAATTGTTAATGGAAGTTTTAAAAGAGTTCTAGATTTCAACATTGTCTGCGTACGTATCATGAAGAAATAGTAAAACTATTGTATCACCTTACAATCTTGTTTGTTTGGTTGTACTATGTTCTGTGGGAACTGCCACATCATCAGGTTAATCATCTTCTACGATTCGTTACACACTTACAATTGAAAACGCAAAACCCGAGTTGACAGAACACATTTAACAAGACATATTACATCATACCTACATTGATAATGCATGATTAAAACAATACAATTAGATCAACGGACGTGATGGGTACACGCATTCGTCACCACCACCGGCCCGAAATAAATGTGTTAAATATGTCTGGTTTCAATGGGGACAGTAAATGAGTACTGTAATCTACATATATAAAAGGCAAAGCCCTCGCTGACTCGCTGACTGACTCACTCACTCACTCATCACTAATTCTCCCACTTCCCATGTACCTAGGAAGCTGAAATTCGGTACACTGATTCTTTGGGAATTAAATAGGAAAACTAAGTAGTTTTTATTCTGATTGGGCTTTCGGGCTCCACCCCAGTGGCTCTGGAGTTTCCCATGTTAACCTTATGAGTACTCATATTTAAATGGAATTTAAGAATCTTAACAGCTGGTTCAACTAAACAATTTGATTCTGTGATGTTCAATAGCATGTTTTTCTTTTTTACAGCTGTTTTGTTGTTTTTAAATTTGTTCTATGTAATTCTTATGAGAAAATCAACCTTCGAGAGCGCAGTTAAGGGTTAAAGCCGGGTTTTCCTAGGCGCGGAGTCGGCGAGCGGAGAGAGGAACGCGGAGAGCGGACTCCACTTGTCTTAGGCAATTTAATGTTACTGTTTTCCTAGAAGCGGAGCGGAATGCCATGTTAATTTCAATTCCGCTCTCCGCGTTCCTCTCTCCGCTCGCCGACTCCGCGCCTATTAAAACCCAGCTTAAGAATTTTCATATTCCAAATCTTGTTGAAAAACTATAAGTTGAGCCGAATGTGTTGACACCTCAATCATTGAAATTGGTCCACAAATAAGGGAGGAGTAGTGTTCACAAAAAATGGCTTCAGGTATTATAAATATATATAAATACCTGTCATGGATACCTTTAAGAAGATCCCAGGGATAAACCCTGAAAGTTGTTGGTATATAAATCTATTCCATAAGATTCTACATGTATCTGCCAAGTTTTGTGGCCATCGGTCCAGCGGTGTCCGAGTTCATCACTAACAAATATACAAATATACAAACCAACATCCTCTTTTATACTTATAGATGCATAAGAGAGACTTTTAGAAACTTACTGTAGGCATAAATAGGCTAAATAGGTTGGTTCTCAAGGAAACTGAGACTCTTGAACACGTCAGATATACCTTGTCTAATATACTGAGTAACCTTGCCAAACACGCTCAGTTACCTTGCCTAACACGCTCAGTAATCTTCCAAACACTTTCAGTAACCTTGCCAAACACTTTCAGTAACCTTGCCAAAAACTTTCAATAACCTTGCCTAACAATTTCAGTAACCTTGCCAAACACGCTCAGTAATCTTGCCAAACACGCTCAGTTACCTTGCCAAACATGCTCAGTAACCTTGCCAAAACACGTCAGATATACCTTGTCTAACACGTCCAGTAACCTTTCCAAACACTCTTAGTAACCTTGCCAAACACGCTCAGTAACCTTGCCAAACACTTTCAGTAACCTTGCCGAACGCGCCAAATATACCTTACCAAAAACGTCACCTTACCGACCTCGCTTAGCATGGGCATTGAACGTGTAATATAATCTCTACCAAGCACGCATTTTTGAGTGGCCGAACACTAGTCTTAGAAATAAGGTACAGCTAGAATTATTAATGTAATTGATTAAATAGAAACTAAAATATGTTTTTACTGTACTTACAAAGACCAGATACACGAAAGGCGTCATGTTGGTACGCTGAACTGTCGACCAAACTAAACTATTACAACTGCAGCCAGTTACCGCGCGATGAGGTAATTTCAGAAAGTTTGATTGACGTTAGAGATATGTCAAGCCATTAATCTCTGGCATAACACATATCATTGCACACATTTTTAACAACATATTGCTATACGGTTTTTGATTTTGTAGTGAACATTACTGTGCAACCGGGTTCGGTTGACATTGTTTTTGCCCTCGGCGAACTTAAGTCAGTAGTTTGGACGGGATTTTCTTACAAATAAAAACTTTCTTCAACACATGGAAAGTTTGGCTTCACTTTTAGAGAAACCCTACCTCATCAAACCAAACGATAAACGCCACGTCATACCACACCATTTCCCAAAACTTGCCACGTTTAATAGCCAAGTCTACAGGTTACTAAAGTGTCCGCCTTCTGCTGATCACCACGACATAGAACTCTACATAATTTGTCACTGTTCCATCCTCCATTTACACGCATATTTTTTGTTTGTGCTAAGTATTGATTACGGTCTTCTGCTGATCAATAAAGATGTTTAATATACGGTACAGTCGTCGGTCTTCTGCTGATCAATAAAGATGTTTAATATACGGTACAGTCGTCTGTCTTCTGCTGATCAATAAAGATGTTTAATATACGGTACAGTCGTCGGTCTTCTGCTGATCAATAAAGATGTTTAATATACGGTACAGTCGTCGGTCTTCTGCTGATCAATAAAGATGTTTAATATACGGTACAGTCGTCGGTCTTCTGCTGATCAATAAAGATGTTTAATATACGGTACAGTCGTCGGTCTTCTGCTGATCAATAAAGATGTTTAATATACGGTACAGTCGTCGGTCTTCTGCTGATCAATAAAGATGTTTAATATACGGTACAGTCGTCGGTCTTCTGCTGATCAATAAAGATGTTTAATATACGGTACGGCGCGATCATACCGGTTACTACTCGTGTAATCGATTAATCCAACCGATACTCGAGTGTGGTGGTTGAGGGTGGTAGACCTGTTGCACGGGTAGTTGCCCAGTTACCCGCCAGGGCGCGCCACCCTCTCCCCTCAACAGGTGCCACTGCCAGCCGCCCCAGTGCCCTTTATACCTCCGCCCAGGCGCTTTCAAAATCTGGAAGAACCAAATATATTTTTACAAAAAAGTGCAACTTGCTCGACGTCCCCGCCAGTGGTACGGTGGTGTCAGATGTGCTTGTTTTAAGTGTTAGTGACTTTTGTGTTGGATTTCTGCTATATTTGGATACAACTTATTTGGTAGGTAACAAAATATACAATTTACACTTAATACATCGTATTTTTGGAAGGAAGGGAACTTAGGGTATTAAATAGAATTTTATTTTTTTTTTACCTTTGCCACAAGTACTGGAAAATATGTTCCATGAAAGTATATTATTTTGTATTTGTATGTGTTTGGGTAAAAATGTTCTTTTTTTAGTTTTATTTGCTTATTTGCTCCATCTAAAGTTTTCTGCAGTATAATTTTTTTTCTCATATTATATAATCAAAATAATAAATAAATATTATTTATCGATCACATTAAATACGGTTGGTTTTTTGTGATTGGTAAGATGACTTTAATAGATACAATTTAATTTACTTGCATGTAAAACCTTTACATAGTTTTATTATTGGTTGCATTCATGATCTACAATCATCCCTAACTTCATCAATGGAATATGAACTAATATAATAATAATAATAGCTTCAATCTTGTGCTTAAATACCCCAACCACAGCAAACTTGCACACTGCAAAGCGAATTTTAATTTGTCTAATTGGATTTTTACTATATTTCCATAAACAAGTCATATTTATTCCCTATGTAAATAACATCAGATTTAACAGGTATTTAGATTTGCTGCCACAGAAAGATAATTTATCCAATATTAACAGTATAGGAGGAAATAAATAATTTTGCTAAATGTTATCAAAATCCAAAATTTTATACTCTAACAAGCGATGTCCGTTTGCCATTGAAAGTAAAATTCATCTCGAAATCCAGGAAGGAAAACTGAATTTTAAGATTAGGGATTTTTAGATCTAAAAACTTGTTTGGCTTAAGCTACTATACCTCAGTAAAACGCGTATTTCGCTACACAACTCATTAGAAAACTATATATTTTTTAACTGTGGCCTTATAGTTGCCAAGTACTGTAGCTATTTTGGTTTTACAAAAAATAAGGAAAAAGTAAACAAAAGAATTGTGACATGTTTAAAAACCATCAACAGAATACTAGCAAGTTACAACATACAATATTAAAAAAAAAAAGAAAAGAAAAATTCAGTGGTAACTATTGAGCAGATACATAGAAGATTACTCGAAATTAGAAAAAATAGATCCGATCAAGAATCATACGAATCACGAATCACGAAGGTCATAAACATAAACAAATAACTAAACTGGTCCGAATCCTATACTAATAAACATTAACATATGGTTTAGACAGTTACATTTTGTTAAATAATGTTTACTTTCAGGCTAGTAACATCATTTTCGTTTTTGTTTTTGATCCATAATAGTCTGTTCTAGTACTCAAGCATCCGATTAAGTACCGATTATTTTACTTGACTCTTTTCCATAAAAACTTAAATCCCCAAGAAGTGAGGAAGCTGTTAGTAAACTTTCATATTGAAATAGAAATGTATTATCTTACTAATATTATAAATGTGAAAGTTTGTGTGTTTGTTTGTTTGTTTGAAGTTCATTCACGCATAAAACCACTGGACGGATTGGTCTGAAATTTGGCATGACGATAGCTCACATTCCCGATTAACATATAGGCATATTCTTATCTCAAAAATCCTTTCAGGCTCCGCCCCAGTGGCTATGTAGTTCCCCATGTTAACCTTATGAGTATTTATATTTAAAGGGAATTAAAGAATTTAGTCAGCTGTTTCAACTAAAAAAGTTGGTTCTATGATATACAAAAGCATTAAAAAGTTATAAGATTTCCCAACAGGGTGCAGCACTATAATCATTTTTGCCTTTATGTCAAAGTAGGATTGTTTACAGTTCTGTTTATATTTTTAATGTCATGAATAATTTGTGATTTTTTGTGAATTCGTATAATTTATTGTCTTTATTGCTTAGGTGAAGTGGTAGAACATTATGGCTATGGTAGATGTGTAATATCATTAGTATACCGTCAATTTAAAGAAGCAAATGTTATCAAACTTTGTTCTCTCCCATTGCAAACGCAAAGCTTGAGTATAACTGCAATAAGCATTTTAAACTTATGCCAACCCCGTACGAAGGATGGGTACTCTGCAAGTCTTATATACAATATTTAATTTTAAAATTTTCTAAGATTTTCATGCTTTAATCAACTATCAGTCAACATAATGTTTATGCAAAGATAGGCTATTATAAACTAGCGGTTTTACCATTGTTTTTTTATTATTATTTAGGGTAAATTTTACAATGTCCGTTTTTTATTATACCAAAGTACGTGTAAAAGTTAACATAATACGAGTATGTTTACATATTTAGATAAATTAATTTTAAAGTGGGCTTAGTAGCAGGAAACTAATAGTGTACAAAATACATGTTTTACATAAGTCAGGCAGGGCTAATATTATCTCGTCTACAGCTGATCTATAAAGTAATTTTAGGTAGTATGCTTATGTTTAGGTTTTAATTTTACTTAAAGAAATATTTCAGTTAAAGCAAATAAATCACACTACTTATTAACATAAACAATTGTATTTTTAAAATGTTTTTTCCAAAGAAATATATTAAAAACTTCTCACGACAAGGTTTAACTTATTGGTGGTTTTGATATATACCTATAGTTTGAGCAAATTATAGAGCTCACTAACACATACCACCGAAGAGAAACTTATCCTCAAGTATCTTATTTTGTATACCATCTCATGCCTTGATGACAAATGTTTGATGGTTTGTGAATTTTCTAACAACAATTTAAAGAGCGAGTGGAAGAATTCGGCTGGATTCTTAAAAATAGAGAATTTTTGAGCAAACAAATTTATTTATTGGTGGACAGGGAACTTCGAATGTTGCTGGAAAAAACTCATTTGGTAACTAAAAGTCTTAGCACTATACTTATGGAGATTTCAAATCAGAAAACTTTTTGAAGTAGAAAGATATATGAACTTATAATTTTAAAATACATTCAAAATAATTAAATTAAATGAGGTTTTTAATTTGTATAAAACTATTATCCCAAGCCCCAATGAAAAAGCAGAATCTCAATTTCTTTAGAAGTATTAAAGTGAAAGTACAAACAAATTTTCAAATAAAACTATTGCAAACACTTATACTGTGTATTCACAAGACTGTAATTATAACAGATGGTAAGTGGTGATAGATTTCGATTGGACACTACAATCATAAGTAATAATTTAAAAGCTTGGGCTACATGATGAAAACCAAAGAGATCCATTTCAAAACTAATATAATCTTGTTTATATTACATTTGTCATCCGTTAATCGGTGAGCGTAAAAAATGAACAACGGGTTTCAATAACTAGAGGAAAGAAAAATGCTGACCCCCATCGCAGCAAACCTGCAGACTAAGCGAATTTCAACTTGTCTGATTACATTTTTATTGAAATATTTGCATAAATAAGACATATTTATTCCATATTTAAATGACATTATATTTAACGAGTGCTTTGATTTGCTGCTACGGGGAAGGTAAAAAGTGTTTTTTGACCACACGTCAATAGTATAGGATGAAATAAATAAATTTGCAAAATTGTATCAATATATATCCATAAAGAAGTAAACTACAACAATTTTCATTTTCTCCATAAGAATAACATGGGAATTTTTAATTACACTATTTTTTTATTTTCTCCGTGACCGTGAAGCATACAACAGCGCTTTGATTTACTAAATTATTTCTTTTTTACGCTCTACAAAACGGTTTAAAAATAAATTGCAATTTTTTTGTTTTTAGGGTCAAAAATGGAAAACCCCTATTTTTACCCCACAAAAACCTCCATAAGCCCCCGTTCCCATGGTCCGATTATGCTGGATCACGAA